CTATTTCGGCCAAAACAGAATCTTATAAATTAAATTATTTATTCAATATTCTGTTTACTAGCATATGCTAATGCTACAAATTTTTATTTTATAGTCAAATTTTTCATGCAAATTTGCTCCTTGGAAGCCCATGAAATGGTACCTCCCCAAGCAAATACACTCAACCACTTATAGAAGAATGATCTTCTATATTGATAATTAAATTTGCATCTAAATACCCTTCTACCAACGAAGGAAATTTGACATAAAACAAAACATAATTTATGTTTTCATTCAAACACTCGAGTTGTGATGTTTATTGTCCTTTATAAGGCCCAGTCTTCACACTTGCATCCATGGGAGTTGTCATTGGAGAACAATCTCACAATCAAACGTCTTAACAACTTTCTCAATATAAAGAGGTTTGTTAAAGATAGTTTTTTATTTTTATGTGTGATTTAAATTTCAAGAATCACATCCACCTCCCCCATGTCTTTCATTGTAAAACTTGATGACAATAATGCTTTTGTAAACTCTACTTATCTATGGCTAGTGCCAAAGATCAATATGTCATCAACATATAAGCAAATGATTATTCCATTACTGAATTCATCAATTTGTTATATAAACACTTATCCTAGTAGTTTNTATTCCAAGCCTTTGGGTTACACGAAATCCCTTTGTAGGATAAGACAATCAAAGTCACATTCTTGTTCTAGGCTAAGATACAAGAATAACAAATAGAGTTTTAATGCTTATATGTGTTTCTTCAAAGATCTTTGATGATCTTTGAACAATAAATCTATTTCTCTCTTACTCTCTTACTAACTATTAGTTTCTGATTTTTCTATCTGTCTCTATCTTTATTTGCCAATGCCTACATCCCTTTATATAGAGAATGAAAGGTTGCAACCAATGGTTGCAATGGTTAATCCAAGAGATGCAATAGTTAATACTAATGGTTGCAATGGTTAATGAAGAGTTGCAATTGTTAATACCAACAATTGCAATGGTTAGTAAAGAGTTACAATGGTTAATCATCAAGGGTTGCAATCACTAATATGGTTAACCATCAAAGGTTGCAAATATTTATATGGTTATCACCAAAGGTTGCAATCATTAATATGGTTATTACCAAATGTTGTAATCATCAATAGTTGCAAGCTTTTATTCATGTAGTTGCAATTATTCACATAAACAATTGCAATGGTTCATTGCACCCTTTCACTTAAACCCTTTCACTTAAATATATAACA